CCTTCTCTCTAAATTGGAGAGAGATGGATTTGATAGGTGGGCTGTTGCGTGGATGAGGAATTGATTGGATGGTCACATGCAGAGAGTAGAGGTCAATGGGTCAATGTCCAGATGGAGACTGGTGACGAGCGGTGTCCCTCAGGGGTATATATTGGGTCCAGTACTCTTTAAAATCTTCATCAATGACACAGACAGTGGGATCGAGTGCACTCTCAGCAGGTTCACAGAATCACAGAATAGAATCATAGAATCATTAAGTTTGGGAAGGACCTCTAAGATCATCAAGTCCAACCATTAATCCAGCGCCACCATGTTCACTAAACCATGTCCCAAAGAGCCATGTCTACACGTTTTTTGAACACTTCCACTGATGGTTGACTCCACCACTTCCCTATGCAGCCTCTTCCAGTGCTTGACCACTCTCTCAGTAAAGACATTTTTCCTCATCTCCAATCTAAACCTCCCCTGGTGCAACTTGAGGCCATTTCCTCTCATTCTGTCACTAGTTACTTGGGAGCCAACTATGTCCTGGGCTGCACCCAAAGCAGTGTGGCCAGCAGGGCGAGGGAGGGGATTCTGCCCCTCTGCCCCGCCCTGGTGAGGCCCCCCTGCAGTGCTGTGTCCAGCTCTGGAGCCCTCGGCACAGGAAAGACATGGACCTGTTGGAGCAGATCCAGAGGAGAGCCACAGAAAGGGTCCGAGGTATCTAACACCTCTATGAGGACTAAGAGAGTCAGGGTTGTTCAGCCTGGAGAAGACAAGGCTCCGGGAAGACCTTATTGCAGCCTTCCAGTACTTAGAGGGGGCTTACAAGAAAGACGGGGACAGACTTTTTAGGAGGGCCTGTTGCGGTAGGACAAGGGGTATTGATTTTAAACTAAAGGAGGACAGACTTAGACTAGATATAAGGAAGAAATTTTTGACAATGAGTGTGGTGAAACAGTGGCACAGGTTGTCCAAGGCGGTGGTAGATGCCCCATCCCTGGAAACATTCCAGATCAGGTTGGACGGTGCTCTGAGCAACCTGATCTAGTGGAAGATGTCCCTGCTCATTGCAGGTGGGTTGGACTAGATGATTTTCAAAGTTCCTTTCCAACCCAAACTGTTCTATGATTCTGTGATGAGGCACACTGGTATTACTCACAGCCTGCACTTGGAGCTGCAGGTCGTTTTTCTCCTGCACCAATTTCACCATTTTCTCCTCCAGCTCCTTCCTCTTTGCCTCAGATTTTGCAAGCTCTTCCTTGATTTTCTCAAACTCTTGTTTCATGTTGGCCATCTCCTTCTCAGATTCTGCACTCTTCAGCAAGGGCTTAATCTTGAAGAACAGCTTCATCCAGGGCCAGTGCTTGACATTCATGAATGCACGAATGTTGTACTGGATGCAGAAAATGGATTCTCTGAAAGGTAAGTCAAATTAATATTAAGCATTTAGACCATGATGACACAGTAAGCCAAATACAGCGAACCTAATTTGAAGAAATGTCTACCTCCTCTCCACCATTCTCTGGTACTCCACTCTCATCAGGAAGCCCCTGCACCTGGCCTGTGTGCGTGTGATCAGCTGTGCCAGCTTCTCATCCCTCATCTCTTCCAAGAGGCCTATCAGCCCGGCTTTGAAGAACACCTTAGGTAAGAACATGAAAATAAGTGCATTGTATGTGCTTGTTGTTCCATGTAGCCTGGTACCATGTCCCCCATGGCAGATAATATGGCAAGTTAAGAGAAAGAGCAAAAGCACAAAGAATGTATGTAGTGATAGAGCCTCTTTTATATCTCCAAGCTTCCAGCTACCGGCAGTTGAGGAACTATAATATCCAGATATTTTGCCTTTGTTTTTATTAACCCTTGATCCTTCTATTCTACAATTTTTTTCTTAAAGTAGGATCCCTTAATTAACCCTTAATTAAATCATCCTATGGCAATGAATTTCAGTTTTTTTCAAGTGTTGAGTCAGTAAGTACTTAGTTGATTTCTTTTAAATACAATATTTGATGATTTCACCTACTATTTGGATAATCTAAGTATCTTTCTCAAGACATGCAAACCAAAAACACATAGTACTTGAAACAAACAGTTCTTGTACCTTGGTGTGACCAAATTTGTACTGAGTGTGGTCTATATCTATTGATCCAAGAAGTTTCTCACAAGCCTTCTTGCTGTCAATGAATTGTCCCTCTGGGATAGCGCTTGCATTTAATACTTTGTATCTGGAGGAGAAAATGGAAGGGCTTGCATTGGACTCGATGTACCAACCTAAATGATTCTATGATTCTATGAATGTAAAGAGGTCTGGTTTTGAGACCAGTTGTCTGGTACACTGCAAGAGTCTAAGAACTGTTGAGAACGTAACAGTGCTGCTAAACATAAACTGTAGAGAAGGCTTTAGTTATCAGAGGTGAAACTTAAATTTCACAAGCTGCTCAAGATGGACGAAATTAACCAGTAAGTGGAAGAAGTCTGACCTCTGTTTAAAATCTGCATACAGGACTCTGTTGGGAAATCCTTTCCTGCAAATTCTGATCCCTTCCAGCACGCCGTTACATCGCAGCTGGTGAAGCACCAGTTCATGCTCCATGGCACCTAGCGATTCAGAGCACAAATATATGCTGCATTCTGTAATACTGAGGGGAGGAGCTGAACCATACTGAAAATCTTTTGTATGTGACTCTCTTACCAGGTGTTTTTGTTTCATTTGGGATGATGCAACGTACAAAATGGGGGTGAGTGCTTCGCAAATTGGTCATCAGCTTGTTTAAATTCTCCTGGAAGAGTCATTAACAAAAATTCATATTAGCAAGTGTAATTTCCACTATAAACATCAAGGCTTCTGAAATGAGATAACGAGATATCAGACAAAAATCAGCTTGCAGAATCCTGAACTGCAGCCACCCTGCACCAGTTTTTCTGACATTCTACAGATCTTTGCTGTTACTAACTTAATGTAGAGTTTTCTGCAGGATCAATCTGTAGGAAATATTATACTCTTAAACATACAATTTTAATACATTTCACTGACTCTAGTGGAATTCCTTAATTCGAAATTATATCCATCTTCCATTGGATGTACCCAGATGATAAACTGGTACCTCTATGAGGCAGTTTGAAGCATATTACAGTAGGCATTCAAGATGGGTCTTAAGGAGCGTACTACATAGAACCTTCCTGTTTTCTCCACTGAAACGAAAAGGAACAAAAACGACGAGCTGAGTTTCATCTGTCTAGTTTACATGTTTATCTGGTAAAGTAAGATGAGATAAATCCCAGCCTTGTTTTACAATTAATATCTGTATATTTATTTATAAATAATTATTGCCTATATTTAGTGGAGGGAAGCAGGTGCCCCCAGAGAACATCTCAGAGTATGTAAATTAAGCAGCCAAAGCATTAAGGTGTCTAAACATTAACATGTCTAAAGAAAAGGGATAGTGGAAGAAAGTTTGAAAACATAACAGAAATGCAACCCAAATGCAGCAAATAAAATTTCTCCTATAACATTATCTCTTAAAGTCTTGTGACCTTTGAAATAGGCTTATTGCATTATTTTTGAATGATACATGTTGGCAATAATTTCCCACTTGCAAGGCCAAGGCACTATAGTTAGGATTATTTTTCTTGGGGCTTATACACACATGCCCATGTTCCGTTTCAGAGCACTGGCTAGAGGCTGTCAGGTGATCAAGAATCATGACAGCAGATCTGTAGAAGAATTTAGGCTATATCAAGAAGGATGAATATGGTAATAAATAACCTCAGGAGAGAGACTAGGCATTTCACCTGGCAGAAGTGTATGCAGCAGCCAGTCAGCAAGACTTGGTTACAACAAAGAATAGTCAAGTATCTGACATCTTAGAAATCCATAACCCAAGGAATGGTGGTATTTCAACTATAAGAGACTGATCCCTAGATCATGGAGAAAAACTAGAGATACAAATGGAGCAAAGAAGTCATCCTCCAGACCAGCGGGCAGAATGTTGTTAAAGGGCAATAAAAGGTTATGAAGCCAAAAGTGGGCTTCTAAAGGAAATCTGGTATGTTTTAAGAATATTTTAGAAGTTTTCTGTATGACATTCTTCCCTCTGGAAAGATCATCCTGGGACATGTGGACAAAAAGAAAAGCTGTGCAGTCAGTGGAATGGAGTATAAGCAGATTACAGTGCATTTATTCGTAGCAAAATAAGGCCCAAGAACTTCAGGGACTTTTAACACAACTAAGCCAAAAAAAGACTAGCCATTTTAAATGGCTTACTCTTCATCTTAGGAAGAAATAGTGAACTCTACTGTACCCGGAAAAGAGCTGAGACAGTCTGGAAGGAAGAACCCTTCTTCTTGCCACCTTTCTTGCCAGCACTAGCCTCTGCAAAATTGAAAATAAATAAAACAGGTTTTTGATTTTTGCTTTTGCCATTTATGATTCCTTTTTGTAAGCTGTACATCAGTGAAATATGGGATTCACAGAACCAACCTGCTTCTGCTCCACCATAGTTGGCAAAGAGTAAGGCCAATGTTTTCAGTGATGATTTCTGGTACAACCCGATGACAGTTTCATTCAGGGGGTCTTTGTTCTTCTCAAGCCAGCCAGTGATGTTGTAGTCCACTGTACCAGCATAGTGCACCAAAGAGAAGTGAGCCTCAGCTTTCCCTTTGGCAGGCTTTGGGTTCTGGAAGTTACTGGGTTTTGCGGTACAACCCGATGACAGTTTCATTCAGGGGGTCTTTGTTCTTCTCAAGCCAGCCAGTGATGTTGTAGTCCACTGTACCAGCATAGTGTATCAGGGAGAAGTGGGCCTCAACTTTCCCTTTCGTAGGCTTGGGCTTCTGAAAGTTACTGGACTTGCCCAGATGCTGGTCATAGAGCTTGTTCTTGAAAGAGGTGTCAGTTGCCTTGGGGAACATGCACTCCTCTTCCAGGATGGAGAAGATACCCATGGGCTGGAAGAAATGCACAAGAGAGACAGATTGTAGTTTAGTTTTCAGAGCAATAACGACCTTCACCTAGGCAAACTAGTCAAACACAGACTGAGATAGATACACATCAGAAAAGATCATTATTCAATCACATTTTCTGCTAGAAAGTGAGATTAAACATATCTACTCTGCTCTGGTGAGACCCCTTGCAGTGTTGCGTCCAGCTCTGGAGCCCTTGGCACAGGAGAGACATGGACCTGCTGGATCGGGGCCAGAGGAGGCCCCAGCAATGCTCCGAGGGCTGGAACAGCTAGGCTGGGCGGACAGAGCTCTGCTGGGAGGACAGACTGGGAGAGCTGGGGGCGTTCAGCCTGGAGCAGAGAAGGGTCCGGGGCGACCTTATTGCAGCCTGCCAGTACTTAAAGGGGGCCTATAAGACAGACAGGGACAGACTTTTTAGCAGGGCCTGTAGTGATAGGACAAGGGGTGATGGTTTTAAACTGAAAGGGCAGATTTAGACTAGATATAAGGAAGAAATTTTTGACAATGTTGTGGGTGGTGGAACCCTGGCCTAGGTTGCCCAGAGAGGTGGTAGATGCCCCATCCCTGGAAACATTCCAGGTCAGGTTGGACAGGGCTCTGAGCAACCTGATCTAGTTGAAGATGTCCCTACTCATTGCAGGGCGTTGGGCTAGATGACCTTAAAGATCCCTTCCAACACAAATATTCTATGATTCTATGTTATTGATACTTAGATTTTTTAACACCAAATGAATCATAAATTGGAATTCATTTAGTTTGTGTTGGGAACATGCTTTATGAAATCAGAGCACTACTTTCTTATCAAGAGGGACTCAAAGCACACACAGATGTCATAGAAAAATTGAACATGAGCCAAAAGTACACCCTTCTGGCAAAGGCAGCCAACTCATCCTGTGCTGCATTAAGAGTGTTGCCAGCAGTGCAAGGGAGGTGAACCTTCCCCTCTGTTTAGCTCTGCTGAGAAACACTGGAGTGCTGTGTCCAGTTCTTTGCTACCCAGTATAAGAGAAACATGGACGTAGTAGAGTAAGCCCAGTGACTGGCCACAAAGATATTTAAATGACTGGAACACCTGACATGCAAGGAGAAGCTGAGAGAGATGGGACTATTTAGTCTGGAAAAGGCTCTGGGGAATTTTATCAATGTTTGCAAATACTTAATGGGAAGGAATAAAGAAGACAGAGCTAGAGGCTTCTCAGTCGTTTCCAGTGACAGGACAAGATGGAACAACCATGAATCGAAATACATGAAATTCCATTTAAACAGAAGAAAAAAGCTTCTTTACTGGGAGGGTGCTCAAAAATTGGAACAGGTTGCCCAGAGTATCTGTGGAGTCTCCACCCTTGGAGATATTAAAAATCCAACTGTACATGGTCAGGAGCAACCTGCTGTAGCTGACTCTGCCTTGCCCAAGAGGGTTGGACTAAGTGATCTCTGGAGCTGCCTTCAAACCTCAGCAGTTCTGTGATTTTGTGTTTCTAACTACTTATCATCCTGCCAGCCACTGAACTTCTCATCTCATGTGCAGTGTGACTGCCTTCTCACTATCAGTCAAAGGATGCACGAGCAAGTGTGACTCTGTGCTGACGTATGTCCATCTTTTATGTTAATTTTACAAAGATATAGTTATTCTGCTGCACAAGCACAAGTCTGTTGGAGCTGAAAGGTTAGGGGGGACATGCTGATCTGGAAACTGACTCCACCTGTTTTGGAAGAACACTCTTATTGGAGTTTAATAATCTTTTGGCACTTGAAAAGAGATCAGTAAGACTTGCTACCACAAAGCTGTGTGAGATCTCCTTCATGTCTCACTTGACAGAAAAAAATAACCTACAAGGCAAAGTATTTTGAATAACAAAAGTGGAATATTTGGACATGAACATAGGAGATCCCTTTGAAAAATGAGACCAAGTAATTATAGAATTTCCACACACTTAATACATTTGAACAGGAAGGATACCTTCTCAATGAGCTCAATGCAGGCAGCCAGGTCCATCCCAAAGTCAATGAATGTCCATTCAATTCCTTCCTTCTTGTATTCCTCCTGCTCTAGCACGAACATGTGGTGGTTGAAGAACTGTTGCAGTTTCTCATTGGTGAAGTTGATGCACAGCTGCTCAAAGCTGTTAAACTGGAAATAAAATAAGAAAGACCCATATTTGCAAGATGCGGCAATAATTGCAAAACATCATCCTTTAAAAATAAGGTACGCAGTTATCTTGGCTTCATTGTCAAATCTGTGCATTTCTTCAGTCTGCTTTATGTCTACATAACAAAACAGAAAAATGCATCAAATTAATTGTTCAAAAGGAATTTTTTTTCATTGATAAAAATGTGATGATAAAATATAACTCCTGTATAATCTGAGGCTCAATTACAGGGAGAAAAAAAACCCAAATTTAAGCCTATCATGATATACATGGTTTTATACTGTCTTGTCCTTGATCATGTAAACCAAGGAATTTTTCTGACTGGGACATTCTGTACTTTTGAGTTTGCACATCTTGAAATAAGGCAAGTCCTTTGAAAGGTAATTTTTTACTTTGTGACAAAAAAGGCAAATAGGTGGAAATAATTATGTGATGCTATTACATCATCTTTTAAAATATGTCTCAGAGTGAACATAACATCCAGTTGTCACTTCTGAATAACTCTTACCAAATCTTTGTTACTTACATCAAAGATCTCGAAGCCAGCAATGTCCAAGACACCAATGAAGTACTGTCTGGGCTGCTTGGTATCCAGCTGTTGGTTGATGCGAACAACCATCCACAAGAACATCCTCTCATAGACAGCCTTTGCCAGAGCACCTACAGCATTGTGCACCTATAAAAAATAAATGTCTGGAGTTACCATACAGAGCAGAGGAGAATCAAAAGGATCTTAATTCAAACATGGTTCAAGGTTACCACATGTTTCTTACCTGCTGTGCAGTTTGACCCTTGGTCACATACTCATTTCCAACCTTGACTCGGGGGTAGCACAGTGCCTTGAGCATGTCAGCTGAGTTCAGACCCATAAGGTAGGCAGCCTTGTCAGCAACTAAAAAGACAGAGGAAAAAGGAAGAATTTAGTGTCACATAGACTTTGAGTCCTGGAGTATTCTCTGAAGGCTGCAGGGTTCAGATTTCTGTTCTTTAAAACCTTTTGGTAGACTCTCACAGAGGGAATCCTGGTAACACCAAAGTCATCATTATGCATATTGAGCTTTTCTAAAATAATTCATGTTTGAAAATCTTCACTGAAGCATGTAGAAAGTAACGATGTTTTCAAAAATCCACTGTCACAAAATTGAAAGCTGCAGCTTGCCAGTCTGAGTATTTTGAGTACATGTGTAGCTCAGGAGTTGCAGTGACAACAGTCAGGTCTTGAGCTACATGCAGGTCATCAAAACCACACAATATTTATGGTGGAACACAGAGGGGTCTAGAGTCTACAACCCTTTATGAGCTTTGGCTTCTGATGTTCAGTAAAACTCACTGGGTTTCATCCTTTTACCTATGGTACTTCTCATCTTCTGCCTAGTCCTTTAGCAAGAAGAGCCATTGCTCAGAGAGCTGGAGACATGGGTTGTAGGTCCTGCACCAACAAAGGAGAGGAATCAAATACATCTCTCACACCAGACTTCCCTGAGTGTCTGACAGGTGAGTGTGAATGGGAACATGGTCCCCCACCCTGCTACAGCTGAACCACTTGGCTGTTTCACAATTGCAAGCCATACTCCAACAAAGGAGTGACTAACAACGTTACAGGAAGGACATCCATCGCTCCTGACTTCCAGGATGTGTATAAAGGACAGTTTAAACTATTAATCGTTCATAGCAATTAATGCTAAGATACAAAAGCCCTGAGATCAGGGAACGTGACATACTGAGAATAGGACAAGGGACAGTTTTTTTCTTGCTTAATGTTTTCCCTTGGGATCCTAAAGTCCAACAAAGAACAACTTTTGCTCTCTTCCACATCCATAGTGGCTTACAGAGGGGTTAATTATTGAATTTGATAATACCTTCTGTGCCATCCGGCTCTGCCTGCTCCTCTCTTGGTTTCTGCTTGAACTTCAAGTTCCCATAGTGCATGACAGCCCCTGTCAGCTTGTAGATGGCTGTCTTCTCATCAGCAGTGAAGCCCAGGATGTCAATGGCACTCTGGTAAGACAATCAACAAAGTCAAATATTTGCATGTTATGTGATGTATGACCTGTGACTGTTGACCTGTTTTGTAAGTTACTTACATCTGTTGCCATCAGCTCCTCCTTGTCATCAATGCTGGGAACAGTGATCTCGCCTTGACTCACAAAAGGGTAGTCATATGGATTGGTGGTGATGAGGAGCATTTCTGAAAACGAATGGGTTCATGGGTTAACTATCATTGTTTTTGTAATATAGTTAAATGTTGCTCAGTGATCTTCCTCCAGTAAGCTCAGCGATGCCTCCTACCAATTAGTTCTGGCTTCTTGTTGGAGGTGACCTGATAAAATATGTGGTAGCTTCTTTCTGCCTTGAGCTGGAAAGTGACTCTGGACTTCTCCAGCAGATCTGGCAAGGAAGGTAGAAGAGTCAGGCATAGGAATGCACATGGAGGTGGGAATTTACGAAGGAAGAGATGGGGCCAGGGGAGTCTCTTACAAGTTTCAATGTCAGCAGAAGCCAGTTTGCCTGTGGCTCCAAAGTGGATTCTGATGAATTTGCCCTGTTAAGGAGAAGCAGCAGCATTTCAGCCTAGATGCATTTCATTGCCATCTCCTTATGTGAGAATACCACTAGCCCATCACTACTGTTATATGAGGAGGGATTTTGTCCAAAGCAACAACTTACAAAGCGTGAGGAGTTGTCGTTCCTCACGGTCTTGGCGTTTCCAAAGGCCTCCAGCAGTGGGTTGGCGCTGATGATTTGATCCTCAAGCGTTCCCTGCAGGATGATAATTATTGCTGGTTATCCTTTCCAAAAATCATGTCAGGGACAGAGGAAAGTGTTGACTCAAGCCAGCATCTATTGATTTACCTGCATTTTGCCAGACTGTTCCTCCTTCTTCTTCTCCCCACTGGCTGCAATTGTTGCAAAGTACTGGATGACACGCTTTGTGTTCACAGTCTTCCCTGCACCGGATTCTCCACTGTCAAAGCAAAGAGAGAAGCAGAGAGCGTGTGGTCAGGCAGGAGGGCCCCTGGTACCTGGCAGTCGGGCAGGGACCCGGGCAGGGAGTGTACATACGTGATCAGGATCGACTGGTTCTCGCGATCTGTGAAAGAGGCAGAACAAAAGATAGTGTTAGCAGTTGTCCTGAATAACACTAAGCTGAATGAGAAGTAAAGCTGTAAATGTAAGTTGGAGCTTCTTCAGAAAGAAGATTCCCTTCCTGATCCTAAGTGGTAAGTATAAGCCCAAATGAATGTATAGAGCTGTCAGAGGCATATGATCCTGAGATAAGCTGTGCATCCACTTGCCCTTCACACAGTTCTCATCAAGTAATCTAATCAAACTGCCTACCTGTGTTCAAAATAGTGGATTATATGGAATAAAAAGTTTTTACTTCCTAAGAGTGAAAAAAGCAGCACACTGAGTCAAGTACTATTTCTGCAGTGGGAGAGTGTAGGATTTCGTACAATAAAGTGCAAATAATTCCCAGTGCTGAGTCCATGCATGCTTCTGGGTCAGTTTCACTTGAAATTAATTCCTGCATAACTCAATCAAGTTCTCAGTCATGGTGTTTTTAGCTGGCTTGTCACATGCTCCAGTGAGATCAGTGGGCCTTTTGGTTTAGATAGCTGTGAGGGAGGTCAAGCACTCACCAGTCAGCATGAACTGATAGGCGTTGTCAGAGATGGAGAAGATGTGTGGAGGGGCCTCCTGGCGCTTCTTGCCTCGGTAGGCCAACACCACCTCCGGGTTGTACACCGGCAGCCACTTGTAGGGGTTGACAGTGACGCAGAAGAGACCCGAGTAGGTCTGCGAGGAAGGGAGACAGCACGCTGGCTTCCACTTAGCCTGGCAGAGCAGGTCTTCCCAGCTGCCCAAAGGAAGATGCTGCTGGTACTTACATAGATCATCCAGGCTGCATAACGCTCTTTGAGGTTGTACAGCACAGCGGGTTCGTGGAGGTGGGTCATCATGGCCATGTCCTCGATTTTATCGTACTTGGGAGGGTTCATGGAGAAGATCTGGTCTTCCTTCACGGTCAGGGTCTGCCAGGGAAATGAAGGATCCATGTATGTCAGCTAAAAGCTCAGAGTGGGAATCAATGGTGTCCTTCAGCCTGGTTTTTTGCTCACCTCTCCAGCTTCAGTCTTGACAGTGACCTTCCCTGATTCCTTGCTCTGGATTGTCCCTTTCACAAAGGATTCTTTAGGATGAGCCACAAAGACAGATGACTTTGCATCGAAAGGCTTGTTCTGGGCTGCAATTCTTTCCTTTTCTGACTTTCGGAGATAGGGAGCTGCCTCTCCAAAAACAGCCATCTCAGAGTCTGCAGAGGCCATGTCTGCACTTTACTTAAAGTACGTCCCCAGAAGACTCTAATGGGGAGCAACAATATGGCACTGATTATTTACATGTATTCTGTAAGGTAAAAAATTTTATATCATCCTGTACCTTGGTTTCTCTTCATACTCAGAGTATTTGGAACATCTCACATGACCTAACTAGAGACTTAATTTTTAGGTCAACCTAGAACATAAGAGGTTTTTCATTGATGTAGTCTAGATCTTCAAATATTTAGGAGAGCAACTTTTAATCACCTTCCAGAGCTGTGGGTTTGGTGCTTTAAGAATACTCTATCTAAAAGATAAGAGAGACATCACTATTAGGAATGGAAATATAGTTAGGACATTTTGTTAGAAGGGTGAACAGTGAAGCAACATTTCTTAAAAAAACTATTAGTTTAGGCAACATACTGTCTTAGAAAATGTTGAACCTGTGGGACATTTACCTATTAAATATAATGGTAACAGAAAGGCAGTGGAAAATTAATGAATTTTACTAATGAAGTTCTCAACTGAAACAAAAGGAAAGCCTTTATGACCATTTAATATTCTGCCATAATTTAATTTGTTGTATGCATTTGTCATTCTTCAGTACAATATTTAAATAATTTCAGCTCCAAAGTTCTGACTTGGGTGAAATAAAGTTCAAGCATTGAAATTGGAATTGCCAAGCCTGCATTAAGATCTCAAATAAATACTTACTGAAAAAAATCTAGGAACAGGTCAGTTCTCAAAATTAAAATATTAAAAAAAAAAAGTATTTCTTCAGATGCTTTATTAAACATGTAGGTAGCTATATTTAGCCAACTGCACTTGAAAATTCTCTATCTGCATTACTAAAATTTACTCCTTCTTTACTCATTAGGTAATATTTTTTGTCTGGAATAAGAAAATGGGTATCTAAGAGAGCTCTGGCATTTTACAAAGGTGGTTAGAAGGTCTGTATGCTCAGATGATTTACTAAGCCATACATTCTCAGGGAGAATGCAGAATTTTGCACTTTTTCCTGCTGTGCTTATCTTGGCCCAGTTCTACTGCTGCCATAGCAAAGATGGGAAGCCAGCAAGCCAGCATCCCTGTTAGGTCAGTTAAGCAGAAATGAAGAATTTCCCCACGGGGATTTTCTGGTCTGCCATCAGTGGTCAGAGACTTCAAACGCAGACACTTGAAAACCTTGGGCACCCCACCGTCTTCTACTGTAACCACACTATGTTTGAATCTAGCATGAAACAGTGACCCTTCCAGAAACCCCACCCAAAAGGATCTTCCTCTGCCCTGTAGCAATTAATAAATCAGGTTCTTACCTCTCGTGACACCAGATGGGTGGCTTGCAGGCTGGCAGCTGGTCAGTACTGTAAAACAGAAATGGCAACTCCCTACTTGTTGCACAGAAATCCAGAGTGAAAATGTGTAGGTGCCTTGAAAGCAGCTTTTAAGCCTGAGCTGATAAATTGACTCCCCTCCTGGAAATGAGCACTGGAGGCAGCAGGAATGATGCGGCACATAGGGGCACCATCCCCTTCCTGCAAGCCTGCGGACCGCGTACACTTACCTTGAAGCTTTCCGTGGAGACAGGGCAGACTTGTCGCAGGGGCGTTTTATAAGATCTAGTCTGCAGATGCTACAGATGCCTACTCTTTCTTCGGCCAAAAAATTTTTGGCAAACCTTCTTTGGTAAAGCATTGTCTGGCAAACTGAACTAAGGGCATAATTGTCATTTGACATGACTAGATATAATTAGAAAATTTTGATGTCTTACTGACTATATGAATACATCTCCTATAAACAATCTGACAAGGGTGTTAAGGAGGGAATCTGGACTAGTTAAGGCACTTAGAGAACTTGGATGCAGGACTTATGGATTCTATTGCTGGCTTTCCCACCAACTCACTGCATGACCCAGGGTGGATTGTATGGTATGTCTGCACTGCAGATATCCCAGCTGTACAATAGATAAAACAGGATGTTAAAAGATAAATTAGCATTAATAAAAGCTTTTGGCAGCTGCAATGGTAAAATCCTGAAAGCAGAAGTGCAGATGTATAACAGTTCATAAAGGTTACAGGCACAGCAAGATGGTCAGCCAAACACCACAGAGGCTGGGTTCTACCTGGGCTTTTAAGCTGGTGCCTCTGACAGAGATGTGAGGCAGCTCCAGGGATATCAGGATGACTGCACACACACAGAGAGGCATGTGCATGTGTGCCTCTGTACACACTTCAGATTGCAAGTAGGAGATTCTCCAAGAAACGTTGTTGTGACCCTGTGCACCATCTTGTTCTATGCTGAGACTTCTGATCTGCAGGTCAGTGCCAGTGAGCCACAGATGTTCCCATGCCTGTCACCCTAGGAAAGATAACTCTGATCTAGGAATGGCCCCCACAAGTTTTTTTCCTACCTACAAGTGATAGAAAAATCCTCTAGTCAGACGTACATGCACAAACACATCTCCTCAGGGTGCAGTCCCAGATGCTCTGCACCTAATACAGCTTCAGTCCAACACTTCTGTTTCACCACAAATATCTTGCACACTTACACACTTTTACAGTTCAAAAAAACACAGTGATACCTTTACCAGAGCATTGGGGGTGGCAGGCGCACCTGTATGATGCTGAGAGTGGCGGGAAGGGTGATTTTCTGGTAGTCCTGGAGAGAGACTGATATAGCTTTAGGAAGAGGGAACTGTCATGTGAGCTGTTTTAAAACCTGTCAGGTTTAAACACATTCTTCCCCTGGTCATTGGCATT